CTGCACCCGCGCGGGAGACCCGGAAGAGGCTCCTGGCTTCAGATCAACATAGCATCAACCGTTGTGCTCACTTGGGGAGTGAATCATCGGATGGAGGATCTTCCTCTCTGTCTCTCCTCTCTGTATATCTGCCTTTCCAATAAAAATAAAATAAATCTTTAAAAAAAAAAAAAAAGAAACAAAACTGACCCAGTAATTGCAACCACCAGCTGATTGAGGTGACAGCCTGTGCGGGGCCCTGTACTGGCAAGCACACACAAGAATCTGGTCTGGGATCCACGTGAGCATGGCAACGGGTCAGCTGACCTGGCATGAGAGTGGCGTGGCTCTCAGGGAGGACACAGTCATAGCAGAAACCAGCTCTCATCAGGTGAAGCAAAGAATGGAAAACCAAACTGTTAGGGCAAGTGGTTCTGAGTGTGGACCAGGTACAAAGAGGAAGGGACCACTGGGGGTCTAGGGGATGTGACTTTGGCTATGTGATCTTGCTGGAGATGGCTGCAGGGGGCAAGTTTGGGGGGTAGGGATGGAATCTGGGAGATGCCAAAGGACGGAGATCATAGCTGGGGTGCTGAGATTCCTAATAAATGTAGCGGGACAGTGATTGAAAGCATAGAGCAGGAGGGTCGGCCCCTCTTCCTCCAGGAGAAAGAGAAATGAAGGTGAGGGCGCAGCCAGGAGAGAGGTGATATGCTTGACAGGCACCAGCCTGGGGGCTTATCTCTCCTGCTGACAGGAGAATGAGGGGGTGAGGCAGCAGAGGCCAGGGAGGAGGTCTGAAGAGCTCAAAGGCCTGGGTGGGCATTGCCCCCCCTGACAGTACAGGCTTTGAGTTATTCTGCCCCTGACCTTTCTGTAGATGCATCCTCACTCTCCAAGGATTGTAGCCCAGCTCTGCTCCACATTTCATCTCTTCCTGATTTTACCATCCTCCCAGAGCTCTCTGTGCCTGTGCCACCATCAACAGAACAGAGCACAACTTCTGTCCATCCCACTCGGCCAGTCTCGCCCGCAAAGCGTCCATACATTCACAGCACACAGAAGCACTCGGCACAGTCTGACTGTTGGAATCGCTCCCTGCCAGGGATCACCCTGAGAAAAGGTGGGAGTCCTTGCTGAACCAGGAGCGGAAAGGACATTCGTGCTGATTTCCACTCAAGGGGTACAGTCAGCTATGTGCTGGGGACACCCTGCAGAGGGGCCCAGGCTACAGACCTGGATCGGCACACACATCCCCCATTTGTCTTCCCTGTGCACTTGAGGGAGTGTGCCTGCCCGAACATGACCCTTCTTCCTGGTCTGCAACATGAGGACGATAAGAATACGTTTGTCTTTGCACATAGCGCTCCGTTCGCGACCTGAGATGTGGTTCATGTTGCACAAACACAGGCTGTCAGGATCGTCCCTGACGTCATCACCAATTTCCACAAGCCCAGGAGGCAGGGCATTCGACTGCCCGGCGGCTCGGGTTAGCACGGGCGTTTTCAGTCGAGCTGTCTCCATACACTCCAGGCATGTGTACGGTGAATTGATGAGCGCTGGTTGCTTTATTTTATTTATTTGAAAGACAAAGAGAAGGGGAGAGACAAAGAGAAAGCAATCTTCCATCAGCTGGTTCACTCCCAAGATGGCTACAGTGACTAGAGCCGGGATGGACAAAAGCCAGGAGCCAGAGGCTTCTTCGGGGTCTCCCACATGCATGCAGGGACCCAAGAACCTGCACCATCTTCCACCATTTCTCCCAAGGTGCTGGTTTCAAAGTGGAGCAGCCAAGGCTTAAACGAATGCCCAGGTGGCAGCGCAGGCACAACAGGTGACAGGCAGCTTTTACCTGCTGTGCCACAGCGCTGGCCCCTGTCTGGGTTCTTTCAGGAGCCAAGGACCCAGTCCGGGCCTGGAGACCTCCCCTCGCAGCACACTTGGGCTGCAGAAGGCTTCCTACCTCAGGTCACCGCCCCCACCATCCCCGGGACCACCATTACTACCGCCACTCTTCTCTGATTTGGAACACAAATTTCCTCCCAGAGCTTGCACACCAGCACAGAGCCAAACAGGGTCCCTGCCCCACCCCCGGGATGGGGGTGTCACCTGCTCCCGTAACCTGAAACTCCAGGTACTTTTCCACACCTCCCCCCAGCCCTCCAGGACTCTTTGCCCTTGCTCTGTCCTTCCCCACCTCCGCCCTCTCCAGCCTGCTGACTGCTGTGCAGGTCCTGGGCTTCTCCAGGAAACGCCTCCTCTCTCTCTCTCTCTCTCTCTCTCTCTCTTCCCTAAGGCCCATTAGTGACTGTGGGGTCACTAACGTGGGCGGCTGGGGCTCCTCCGCCTTCCCATACGAGCTCTATTTTAGGGTCGGATCCCACGTTGCTGGCAGGCTGCTCTCTCTCTCTGAGAGCTCCAAGAAACTGCCTGCTGAGCCAGACTGAGCCCACAGGGGCGGGCTCCTAGAATGGGCCTTAATGGAAGCAGAGGCGTCACAGACACCAGAGCCCATATCGTGGTTTTGTCCGCAAGAGATCTGCTCAGGGCTTCCTCCACCCTCTGCCTTTGGCCACAGACTCTTGGGGCTGGAAAGACACCCCTCCCAACCTTTTTTTTTTTCTTATAATCCGTTTAGTTCTCCGCTTTCTTCTCCTCCCATCCTGAGTCCAAGGCACAAAACTAAACTCCCCCTGAGGAAGGGGCCATGAAGTCAGATCCATCTAGGCACAACCAGAAGCCTACTCTGCCAGGCAAAACACCTTCAGCCACAACCAGAAGCCTATGCAGCCCTTGACAACCAGGGACAAACCACTGTGGCAGCTCTCCCAGGCAACCAGACCTAGTCGTCCTTTGATGGGACGACCCCTCACACCTCATTAGGGGGCAGGTGCCCCTCTCAGCCAGGAAGGTCTCAAGGGAGGGACCACAACCGACCCTCAGTCTTCTTAAAATGGAAGGATGCACTTTGCCCAGTGCTGGAGTCCCTTCTAGGGCAATCCCTTCATGCCTGTAGCTGTTTCCGGGAAGGGACAGCTGGAGCCATGACCATCACTAATGGACTAGACAGATGCCTAACCAAGGCCCCGGGAAGGAGGCCTTCACTTTAGAGCTTGCAGGTGTGAGACATGCCACAAAATCAGCTGCCACCGACCAGGAGGAATGGTCTGGCTCAGTGAGCGAGGGATCTGTGCAGCCCCATCTGCTCAGTTCTACACCTGCCCCAGAGACCCCCCCCCCCAAACCTCAGGGCTTGCACTGTGGCATAACGAGTAGAACCTCCACCCGGCATCCCATATGGGCACTGGTTCAAGTCCTGGCTGCTCCACTTCCAATCCAACTCCCTGCTAATGCGCCTGGGAAAGCAGCGGAGGATGGCTCAAGTGCTTGGGTCCCTGCACCCCACAAGGGAGACCCGGAAGGAGCTCCTGGTTCCTGGTTTTGGTTGGCCAGCCCCCAATGACTGCAGCTACCTGGACGGCGGGGGGGGGGGGGGGGGGTGTAAAACAGCAGACGGAAGATTTCACTTCGACTTTCACTCTCAGTCTCACGCTTGCTCTCACTTTCTTCTGTAACTGCCTTCCAAGCCTATACAAAATAAATCTTGAAAATAGGAGACCTTCCCCCACACCCTCCCCTCCCCCCGCCCACCAAACCGAGATTCAGGGCAAGTTAAGCAGGACTTGTCAAAGCTTAGGAAGGCCGGAATTGATTGACTACAAATAAACACAACCTACTCACGCAAGCAGCAAATGTGTCACATCGTGACCTTGAAGCTCACTTAAGCGCAAGGATTCTGAAACCCTGGCAAGGGAGGGCATCCTAAACGTGAAAAGTGGGGGACAGAATGCCGCCGTAAGTCTTAGCCAAGCTGCCAAATAAATGAATACCAGCAAAAGTATCTTTCCATTATAAAAAGAACAGAGAGAAGAAAAGCATGGCTGACAAGCTTGATTTTTCCACTCTCATTAAGGTTTTTTATTTTTCCCCTAAACTGAATGGCCCATCCCACAGGAATAAGGGGGTCAAAGATTGCTCCCAAAATATCTGCTGGGGAAAAGGAAGAGATTAAATGTTTATCCTTTATCCGTTATTTCAATGAGCAACCGGGACTTAATGAGAGCTCATCTCCCAGCAAAGTTGGGGGTCTGACTTCTGAGCACAGCTCTGAGTGCTGACACCCAGCACAGCCCTGACGTCCCCCCAGGAAGTCACCAATCCAGCCCCCCAGGCCGCTAGGGATCATGGGCCCCCTGGACTCCCCCAGGGTCACCCGGTGAATGACTGACACAAGCAACTCCCCTCCCAAAAATTCCTGAGAATCTCTCACTTCCGGTGTTTGGGATGCAGATGAGACCAGCACACGTGCTCCTAACCCCCAAATCCACCACAGACCTGGAAAGCTCCCTGATCCATCTTGAACTGGGAGAGCCAGGCTTGCAAGGCATTTCCCAAACTGTAGCTGCTGGTGATTTAAAGACACAGTGCTCAATGCTCCCTCCCCTACACACACACACACAACACACACACACACACACACACACAGGCACAGGCACCACCATCTCCTGCAGAAAAAGGACTGTCCGGGTCCCCTGCAGGTGTGGTTTTCGGGTCACTGCCTCGCGCGAGGAAGGGCTTGGGCTTGCTGCTCCTCAGCTCCCTCCTCCCAACCAGAGAAGGTTTATTGCCAGCTGGGAACTGCCTGCAGCCCAGCCCTAATCGGCCTGAGACAGGCTGAGGCTGCTGGCAGGCGAGCAGAGCATTCTTCCAAGGTAATGATTAAGCTGAGCATCTGGCAAGGACACAGACTGCGGACTGGGAAGGTGAGCCCTGTTCACACCTGGGCCAGGCTGCAGTGGCCAGGACTGGTTTGGGAAAGCAGGGCCCGGGGGACCCCAGGGAGGAGGGTGGCCCTGAGCCGGCAGCCACGGCCTCCTGCCGGCACAAGGACACCGGGAGCATCTCAGAGCCAAAGCCCCTGCTGTTTGCCTCACTGGGATTCTGCCCCTCATCCGGGCACCATGAAGCTGCCAGCGTTCTGGACTGGGCTGGAATACACCTGCCGGCTCCTGGGCATCATCACAGCTGCAGGTAAGAGCCCGGCTACCAGCTGTGCCTCCTGTGCTTAAGACAACAGCTGGCAGGGATGCCTGGCCACGGGAGCCAGTGGGCACATCCGTCCGATTCCCTGTGTCCGTTCGTTTCTCTTTGCAAGAGAAATGCAGCGCAGCAGCAGGTGCGTTGGGGTGAGTCTGAGGCAGGTGTGATGGAGTGAGCCTCAGGCCTGGTGCCCAAGCTCAACTTGGCCAAATGACCTTCCCTTGGGGGTCTTCCCCTACTCCTAGGAGGTGTGGTCCATTGGGGGGGTGGACTGTGGGTAGGTATAGGACCCAATACCCCTACTGCTATGAAGATGGCCAGCTCAACTCCACTTGCCTTCCCCAAATCACAGCCCTCTCACTTGGAGAGTGAACCCTCAGGTACAGAACCACTCTGCTGAAGAGCAACGGGACAAACTGAGTCCGTCAGGATTCAGAAATTGCAATCTCCCTCTATGGACCAGCAGCCCGAGAGCAAACCAGGCTGGCCTGCCATGGGCTCACGACTGGAGCCTATTCTGGGCTCCGGGGACTGGAAGTAGCTCCCTGAGCTGGGACCCCAGAGCCCAGCTAGATGACTTGGCAGCTGGACAGATGGGCCAGCGTCATGCTGAGCCTTGCCTATCCACATGTCCAGCCCCTGTGACCCTGGCAAAGCTAAGACCTGCGTTTGGGACCATGAGCAGGCAGTCTGCTGCACCCTTAACTCTGGGCCCTCAGGCAAGAGACACATACTGCCCATCAAAGCCTTTCTCAAGGACCTGCGTGGTCCTTGCCAAGTAGGAAAGGTCCCAGCTAAAACTCAGCCCAGCCCTAGCAGAGCACCCAGCCCTGGACCTGCACTTGCTGACCTGTATGATGGCCGTGGGGGGCCAGCTGAACTGGGAGAACACCGCTGCAGGAGCTGAGCCCAGCTCAGCAGAACTAAGAGGGAAGGCATCAGGACAGAAACCCATCTACTCCAACCTGCTGTGAGACCTCATGAGCTCAGGGAGCGTGTGGGTCCCTCTACAGCAAACAGGCCAGGGGGAGATCGCAGCACCTGGTCCCCATGAACCAAAGTCAGAAGGGCTGTCCTCAGTAACCAGATCCCACCCCACCTGTGGTGAGACATGGCAGCAACTGAGCCCAAGCAGACATGATGACCTTGCTCAAGGTCACACTGCAGGTCGGAGGAACATCAGGCCTGGCACCCTGGGTTTTCCCAAAGGCCAGCTGGGCTCTGTGTCCCACTGCAGGAAGCCCAGCCCAGTGGGCAACCTACTCCAGTCTCCTTTAGAATCCATCCATAGGGGAATGAGTGTCAGAGCCCCCGACAGTCCACAGAGCAAGGACGAAAGCTCTAAGCAGAGACCCAGGGCTGGGGGCAGAGTCCTGGTCTACATTGGCTTGCTCTGCATCCGCACCACTTTTGCAAGCTTCAGTTGCACATAAGTAATGTGCGTCCCATGGCTGATGGCCTGACCGAACTCCATCCAGTGCCAAGGCCGTACACTGGGAAGCTGCTTTAAGACCCGAGTTCCTGTTCTCAATGCAGCAGCTCAAGACAGTTTAAGGGGCTGATGCATCTGCACCAGTGGCAAGGCCTGCATCAGTGCCCGCGTGCCAGCAGCTCCTCTTAAACACCGCATTTATCTCTGCACGCGGTACTGCTGGTAAGGCTGAGGCTGCGTCTCCCCCCCACCCCCCGCTGAAGCCTGGCTGAAAACAAACTGCCCACTAATGGACAGGTTTTCAAGTAATCTTGCTTGGGTTTTTCTGGGAGCCAGGGGGATGCCACGCCTCGGGCAGGTCTCATGTTACCTGCGGCATCTCTGAAATGCTGGCCCCTCTCCAGCGCCTAAGATTTACAAATTCCTTCTCCCACTAAGCTTCTTTTCTTGGAAATCTGCAGAAGGGGGGGGGGGCGTTGTTGTTAGAGAAGAAAGAGGGCTGGAGGCAGAGGCTGCCCCTTTGCAGGTACCCTGGGGCTCCTCACCCTCCTGCAGGGTCTGCCAAGGCTGGGAGGGCACTGCTACTGCAGGGGCCAGGCAGCTCCTCCCTCGGTGGGACTGAGGGATGCCAGAGGCACCAAGGCCACCAGGACATGGGTGTTTCACTCTGTGCTATGGTCATAGCAAGCCTGTGTTACGCTGTCCTCTCTGTCCAGTTTCCTGGTAGAGCCTCCTCAGGGTGTCCGGTAGTCCCCCATCCCTCACAGGTGGTTCTGAGCACAGAACCTTGTAGCCACCACATGGTGATGAGCAGGTCATGGACAAACTACACCCAGCTGCAGGGAATCTAGAAGATTCTCTTCCTCTGAAGCCATCATTCAGTTTCCAGTCCCCACAGCTCCCCCATCCGCTGCCACTGTCTTACACTGGCCTCACTGTATGACCCGCACGGCCAGGGACGGCATTAGGGTATGTGTGCATGTGTACATCCATGCACATGTGTTCATATGTGTGTTCCTGTGTGGGTATCTGTGTGATCAGTGCCTCCGTGGCTGAGATGCAGACACGCTGAGCAACAACACCCAGAGCCTGCGCGCCCAGTGCACTCCCTATGCAGCTGCAGCAGAGCCTGCCTGGCCAGAGCTGCCCCTCCTTCTGTCTCCACGTCCCTGCCCCTAGACAGGCTCAGGTGGGCAGGGTCCAGCAGGGACAAGACATGGCTGCAAGGGAGTAAGCGTCCTAAATACTTTCTGAGTCCCAAGACTCTGTTTACCCAAGAGTGGTCACCGACACTTTACCCCACATCACCTTGAGCATCCCAGGCCAAACCTGCAGGACAGTCTCCCAACTGCTGTGCTACCATTTGACCTTGTAGATATGTGCACAGTCCCCGATGAGCATAGGGCCAGTGGGACACAGTCCCCGTTGGGCATGGTGCCAGTGAGACCGTCTGTCCAGACCTGCATGCTTGGCCAACAGCAATGCTTAAAGATGTTGCCTTCCTGTGTCCTGCAAGGATGGGGTTGCGCAGCACAATCCCATTCTACGGATGGGGACTCTGAGGCTCAGATGCTGAGGGCCCCATGGATAAGGGTCTGCTGTAGGTATGCCACTCTACCCAAACACACAGCAATGATGCAACAGCTCCTACAGCAAGACAACTGGGCCAACTGGGAGATGAGGTGGGGCAGAGCCAGAGCCCTTTGGTCAGTGGTGACCGTCCCCCACATCATGTGCTGGGGCCCAACCACTAGGGATTCATTCTGCTCCCAATGTTTGACCCATGAACACCTGCTTCCTGCACAGCAAACACAGTCACAGCACCACAGCTCCGTTCCTGGCCATGGCATTGCTCCCGTGGAGAGCTGGCAGGGCAAGGAAGAAGTCCAACCCCAGATGTTCTCATTTCTTTTTAAAGACTTAAAGACTGGAGCCAGCAAAGGCATGTGTTGACCTTGGTCCTGAGCAACACCTTCAAGGCAAGGCATGCTTCTGCCATAGCTGCCTGGGGCCCTCCAAGCTCATTTAAATGTGTGCCCCCAGACTGGCTGCCTCCTGCCACTCAAAGGACATCATGCACGTTAACCTGTCTGCGATGACTCATGACCCCAGTGAACCCATCCCATCTGCCCAGTGCCCTTCAGGGTCTGACTCAGTGAGTCAGTGGGACCCGCCTCCCTCTGCTCTGCCCCTCCCTCGTCCCGCCCTGCAGGAGGAAAATAGGGCTGTGGGTCAGCCATTTCTCTCTGGACTTCTCTGTGACCTGGTCTCTCCAGATTCAAACAAGAGATCGGCGAGCCCTCCTGGGGGTCGTCGCTCAGCCAGGACTGGCAGTAGACACACAGATAAAGAAGGCCAGAGTTCTGCTCCTGAGGGGGCACACAGGCTGATGGGGGAGGCAAGACTAACCAGGAGACACATTTTCCAGCCCTGAGAGCCACAGCAGTGTGTGCAAGGGTGCGTGTCATCCACAAGGCACGCCAGCTAAGCTCTTCAGACCTCTGTTTTCCAGCCTGAGGAATGGGCACATCTACCCTCAGCCTGATGAGGTAGCAATGAAGTAAAGATGACAGCAGTACATGGGAGGCCTGGCACCTGCTTCCCCATACCCAGGGTACCTGAACCTCTCGGTGCCTCTCCAGCTACACAGAATGACTGAGAGCTCTTCTCATAGGCTGGAGGGCCAGAGGAGGGAGCTTAGAACGCAGCCTCCGAGGCTGGAGACAGACTGCCTCTCAAGGGGCTGTGGGCTGCTGTGGCCGTTGTGGCCACTTGGGGAGTGAATCAATGGACAGAAGATCTTCCTCTCTGTCTCTCCTCCTCTCTGTACATCTGATATATATATATATAGGTTTTGGACAAACTCAAGCATTCTTCTATGACAAAAACAATCAGCAAAGAGGTGGCAGAGCAAACTTCTCACCCTAAACAGAACATTGCCGAAATAAGAAAAAAGAAAGAAAAGGAAAAAGGCAGTTACTTACAAGGTAATAGATCAGGGGCCAGCTCAGTGGCATAGCCGGCTAACACTCCACCTGCAAGACCAACATCCAATGTGAGTGCCAGTCATTCCACCCCTGGATGCGCCACTTCCGATACAGCTGCCTGTTAATGTGCCTGGGAAGCAGCAGAGAAGGGCCTACATTCCTGGATCCCCACACCCGCGTGAGAGATTCGAAAGAAGCGTCTGGCTGCCAGCTTTGAGCCAACCTGGCTCTGGCTGAGATTGAAATTTGGGGAGTAAACTGGAAGATGAGACATTTGTGTGTGTGTGTGTGTGTGTGTGTGTGTGTGTGTGTGTGTGTGTTTCTCAACTTGTAATTCTTTCAAGTAAAAATAATTCTTTTTTTTTTAAACTTGAAAAAGTTAACTAATAAAAGGTCTAGCCATTTTGCAGGGGGAAAATAAATATGTAACAAGCAATTGCATTTCCACATAATGTCAACGATCAAAAAAGAAAAAAAATTAAATGACTTATAATGGCATCAAATGATGAAATCCATAGGGACAAATACGAGAAAACGTTTAAATAAAACTTGTACACTGGATACTAGAAGGATCATGATAAATACGTTCTGATGAACGCAGAGATAAATCCTATTCATGATCACATGACTTAATAGTACTGAAATTTTCCTTATAGCGGATTTGTAATCTCAGTCAAAAATCTCAGAACTTTTTTAATTGATAAGTTGATTATAAAGGTCACATGGAAATGCAGAAGTTTTAATGTCACCAAAGCAATCTTGAAGATAAAATGAATATTAACGTCATCTGATTTTAACACTTAGCAAACTGGGCCTGGCACAACAGTTGAGTGGCTAAACCCTCGCCTTTCATGTTCCAGGATCCCACATGGGCACTGGTGGGTGTCTCGGCTGCTCCACTTCCCATCCAGCTCCCTGCCTGTGGCCTGGGAAAGCAGTCGGGGACAGCCCAAAGCCTTGGGTCCCTTCACCCACATGGGAGACATGCAAGGAGCTCCTGGCTTCAGGCCACCTCATCTATGACCGTTGTAGCCATTTAGGAGGCAAATCCACACGTGGAAGTGCGCTCTCTCTCTCTCTCTCTGTCTCTCTCGCTCTCTCTCTCCCTCTTTGTAAAACTCTTTAAGTAACAATAAGAAAATCTTTTTTAAAAAAATCAACTCACCATGGGTCAAGCGTCTAAAATCTACAATATGCTATCAGCAATTACTAGAGGAAACTCTGCAAGATATTGACCTGGGCAAAGACTTCTCAGAAAAGACTCCAGAAATACAGGTGATAAAAGCAAAACTAGACAAACGGGATGACACCAAGCTAAGAAGCTTCTGCGCTGCCAGCAAAGTGAAGAGGCAACCAGCAGAAAGGGAGAAACTATTTGTAAACTATACTGCTGTCTCCCCAAGAGAAAAGACAGCAACGATCCCACGAAGATTACGTATGAGAGTTCCTAGTAGTTGTATTTGCAACAACCAACAGCCAGAAGCAATGCAGTGCCCGTCAACTGGCTGGTAACAAACACCCACAGGCACATCAATCCATTGAAACACTGCTCAGCAACCAAACAGACCTGCCTTCACCCTAGCAACAGAGGCACGAGTGAGGCGGCTGGTACTGCAGCCCACCTCCTGTACCCACCCGCCGTTGGTAGGACAGCGTCCCATTGCCCAAAGCAGGCCATGCTGCTGAACATGGAGAACATGCAGGATGCGGGAAGCAGATGTGATCTCCATGCCAGGGACGAAGGATGTGGTCTGGGGATATCACTGCCATTTATCGTGATTTCTTCCACAAAGCAAACTACACTCTTTGGGTGCCAACTTCAGTCTGCAGTTCACGTTCAGAGATCCCGGTAGGGAACGGATGCAGGACCCTGCCTTCGAGAAATTCTTCTGCAACAGGCTTGCAAGAGTGAATGTTCCATTCTGAATGCTCTATTTGTCCAGGAACTTCTTCTATAAAATCTTTGGTCCTTTCTCACGTTCTCTCTTGTACGCCACCTGAACAGAACTCCACGCACATCTGCCATTAGAAGCAGCAAAGCTTTTCTGAGTATCCAGAAGCCAGTTTTTGGCAACCACTTGCAGCACTCCTATGGTGTTAGACACGGAGCGATGGCACACATCACTCTCATTGTTCGATCTAGGAGCAGATGCCATGAAGCACTCCCGGCCCTTGGCATCCGACTGCTGGATCCCAGAGAGCCAGGGACCAGCAGACACAGCAGCGCACGTAAGGATGAAGAGAGGGGATAAACAGGGGCGAGTTGGGACGCTGCCACAGCCCAGGGCAAATCAACTTCTCACCTGGCATCCAGGAAGCCCCGGGCCAAAGCCCAGCTCAGTGTGGTAGTCTTCATGAGGCAAAATCAAGCAATGACTTAATGGCTAAATCCTCACCTTGCAGGCTCCAGGATCCCATGGAGTGCTAGCTCATGTCCCAGATGCTCCATTTTCTTTCCAGTTCCCTATTTATTGCCTGAAAAAGCACCTGAGGAGGGCCTGAAGCCTTGTGACCATGCACCCATGTGGGAGATCTGGAAGAAGTCCCTGGCTCCTGGCTTCAAATTAGCTCAGCTCCAGCCATTGCGGCCCATTTGTGGAGCAAACCAGCAGATGGAAGATCTTTGTCTCTCCTTCTCTCTGTAAATCTGATCTTTGCAATAAAAATTTTCAAAATCTCTTTTAAAAAACAAAAACATCCAAACAACCCAGCAATGTGGTCTGAACAGACAAGTCTAGAAAGGTGTCCCTGTGGGTAGCTTGATACTGGATGGATGGGAGAGCAGGGCAAAGGCCAGCCCAGCTGAGCAGAGCCCAGAGGGTGGCCATGCCTTGCTGTGCTCAAGGCAATGACCTGGAAGGATGCTATGCCACAGCTGAGTCAGCGAGTGAGAACCAGGCTGCCAGGAGGCTAGGGGCTGGACGAGCAGCAGGCACCTGCTGAGGGGCAGGTCCCACTCTCAGCCAGGCCCCGGGCCCAGACACCCATCACACAGGGGCCTGGCCAATGGCGCGGGCAGCTTCCCAGGCATCAAGCAGTGGCTGTGAAATCAGCCTGCAGGGCCACACTCAGGGGCTAATAAGGCCTGCGTTATCTCTTTCTAAGGTGAGAGCTCAGCTGTTAATGTGTATGAAAAGGAGAGATGGTTGAATGGATGCATGGACGCATGGGTGGATGGGTGAGCGGTTGAGCGGACAAATGGAGGGAAAGAAGGATGTGTGGATGGATGGTGAATGAGGGCGTGAGTGTAGGGATAGATGGGTGAGTGAATGAGTGGGTGAAAAGGTGGATAGAAGGATGGATGAGTGGGTGGATGGATGGACAGTGAACTGATGGTCTCAGAAGCAGCTGGGTCCGAAGACCCTCGGGGCTCTGTCTGGGGCCTCCAGGACCAATGCAAGAGGCTCCCAGTTACACCTGCCCAGCCACACCTGCAAGAAGCTCCCCCCAGCAGGGCAGCATGGTGGTGAAGGGAGCACCTGGACCGATTCTTGTCTCTCTTCTCACCCTGCGCAGTGTTGATCGGCGTGGGCACCGAGACGTTCTTCCAGGGGCAGTACAAAAGCCTGGCCTTCTATCTCCTGTGAGTATGTGCTTGGGGGGCCTCCCTGCCTGTGGATTCTGCTCCAGCTCTCCCTCTGCCTGTATGCTTAGGCTAAGCTAGAGCCATCCCTTCCTCAAACGAAACGCATCTTATCCCACAGAGGAAAGCATCAAGCAACTTTTAAGACAGCCCTTAAGGCTGCCTATCCAGCCATCCATCAATCCATCTCTCTCCATCCATCGATACATTCATCCACCCATCGACCCATCCATCCTCACCCACCTATCCCCTCCACTCACACCCTCACCTATCCCATACAACCTTCTTCCATCCGTGTGGCGTCCCTTCTGCTCACCCACCCAACCATCCATGCATCCACTCAATCAACTCTCCACCAACATCAACTTATCCCTTCTCTGAGAATGAGGATGGTACCTAGCTGAACTGCCCTCTACAGGCCAAGCACAGCTACGTAATCTGCACCGTGTCCTTAACCTGAACGTCTGGCCTAGTTTTGCACGCATCGAGCAAACATCACCAAGTTTATGAGCGGCAGAGCCCAGATCTGAAGCCAGTCCTCTTCATTTCTCTTGAAAGTCTCTCCATGGGTTTTCTGCAAAGCCCCGCTGGGAAGATCATCCCGTGGGGTGGTGTACAAGGGAGTCCCTGCAAGCTGAGAACCAGTGTGTCTGTGGCCCCATGCCGAGAGGCTGCTTGGAGGAAACTCCAGCCACCCACAACCCCAGGAGCTGAAGAGGTTCAGAGACAGGAAGCAGCGGTTGACGTCTGACCAGGCTGCTTTTTAGATGTCCAGCCTGCCTGCCTGCCTCCAGGTCTCCCAGCTGCATTTCCCCACCTCTCCTTCCCTGCGTGTCACCTCCACTCCCTGCCTCAGGGCTCCGCTGGCCTCTCTAGCTCACACTCAGCTTTCCCCCCACTTGCTGTGTGCACACACAGACCTCCCAGGCACCAGCCCCTCCTCTTATCCCTTCCCGTGCACACTGCCATGCCACCTCCTGGCCTCCGTGACAACCAGGGACAGCTGCCTCTGCTTCAGACTCCCAGCACGGCGTGGCCTGCAAGCTGCTGTGCTGCTCATGTGGGCAATACCATGCCTGGCTCTACTTCCAGGCACGCTGCACCAGGGGAAGCCTGCCAAGCCTAGAGTTTCTTCGGCTGCATATGACTCCTCCTGGCTCTGCATATCCCATACATCTTTCTGACCTGGTCTGGTTTCTGTGTACCACCTCTTGGGAACCCAGATACAGTCCTGGGCATTCCCCCTATACAAAGACTAAGTTGCCAGGCAGACCCGTGGCAGGGCCATGCCAACAGCCTGCTGCCCAGGCCCTGCCCCTTCCTGACTGCTCTGTCCCTGTCTTAGGGGACCTTGTGCCCATGGAATCACTCCATGTGCCCCTCGCCATGTATGAGTTCATGTTTTCTAAACCCCAAAGGATCAGCAACCACTGCCTGCCCTGCCTGTCCCTCCCTGCCACTCACTAGCTCCAGAAAGGAAATCTGAATGGGTCACTGTGCTTCTCAAGCCTGTGTCCCCCTCTTCCACAGGATACAGAAATAGGCAAGGTTGGGCCCGTCACAGTAGCCTAGCAGCTAAAGTCATTGCCTTGCATGCACCAGGATCCCATATGGATACCGGTTCTAATCCCGGCAGCTCTACTTCCCATCCAGCTCCCTGCTTGTGGCCTGGGAAAACAGTAGAGGACGGCCCAAAGCCTTGGGACCCTGCACCCGTGTGGGAGACCCAGAAGAGCTCCTGGCTCCTGGCTTTGGATTGGCTCAGCTCCAGCCTTTGCAGCCATTTGGGGAGTGAATCAACAGACGGAAGATTTTCCTCTCTGTCTCTCCTCTTCTCTGTATACCTGACTTTGCAATAAAAATAAATAAATTAAAAAAAAAAAAGAAAAAGGAATAGGCAAGGCCGGTGAGCAGTAAGCAGACGGAAGCACCTGCCACGGTGCACACGGGGCGTTGGCTAAGGGTTAGCTCCCCTACGGCAGCTTCCTCTGCACCTCCACCCAACCTCCAGCCCTTCCAGCTTGTGGCTGGGTCCTGCCACAGCCCTGGCCTCAAGGCAGCCCTGGATGGACAGGCATCATCCAGGAGGCCAAGGTGCGAAGGGAAAACACAGCGAGATCAGCCTCTCCCATCTCCACCTCCAGGTTTGTCGGAGCCGCCATGGCCCTGTGCGAAGGCGCCTACTTTGTGGCTCGGCTGCTGGCCATCTGCTTCCAGTAAGTAAGCCCCCCTCCAGCGGGGACCCCTTCACCGCTGCCCAGCCCCAGCTGTCCCCGATCCCTGCCCTCTCGGACACTTCTGCTGGGTGTGCCCTGCTTCCCACGCCACCACCTTAGCAAGTTGCAATCCTGAACTCAAGCAAGAACCTCGGCCGCTAACCACATGAGCAGACAGGTGCCTCCACCCCAGGATCCCCCAGAAAAGTCCAGTCCCCATGTTACCCCCTACCCTGACATTCCCTGGGAACAGCTGGGTACTGAGCATCCTGAATCCAGGGCCGTCTACCCGCTGGGGTGACAGGGAAGGGCCAATCCTGAAGGAGCAAGGCAAGCCCCACGGGTGAACTGGCTCAGCTCCTGCAGGACCCCAGAACAAGTTGGGAGCTGGAGACCAGACTTCGCGGGGTCTGGTGAGGTCCCCAAGGCCACCCGGCTGGTGAAGACTAAGTGAGAAGTGTCATCAGCGTGGCCGAGAGCAGGAGCCTCGAGTCACGGCCCCCAGAAGCTAGGTCATCAGGTCCAAGTTGATCCACGAGAGAAAGGGCTAACTGAACTTTACAAGGCCGCTGGCCACCTCCCCACCTCATCCTTTGTGACAACGTCCTCTTTCCAATGTCAGGAGGTAAGATCAGGAGTAGAACATTGCACCTGCTCAGGCCTGCCTTGCACCCACACGCGTGTGCGCGCTCACACACACAGATGACCTGCGTACACACACCTACACATACAAAAACAAAACGCATGCACAGGCAGGAGTGACCGCATGACCACGAGAAGGCGCCAGCGAGCCACGATGGTCCACATCTGGGCCATGTCTGCAGTCCACCAGGGGGCACTGCTCCCTCAAAGCTGGCCTGGACAGACCAGAGTGGAGCATCCCTGCTCTAGGCTAGTTAAGAACTGGGGAGAGGAATGTGGGAAGAAGGCTCTTTCCGCTCTGGAATCCAGAGGGCCCAGCCCTGAGGACTCCTACTGTACAGCCAGCTCCTGGCAGGCCCAGTGCCATCCCTGCGTGACTATTAGGAAACGAGCCGCTCTGGGCCAATGCTTGACCCATGCTGCAGGGCACAGCTGGACTCCTGCCTGCTGATCCACATGGCTGGGCCCCTTGTACAGTGCACAACCCTGTAACTGCCCGGCCAGGTGGCTCTGCTGCGCAGCAGACTTCCCAGTGGGTCCTGAGGCTCCTCATCCCCTCTCACAGCATCCGGAGAGCGCTTCACTTCCTCCCCCGTGATGCTCCCTACACCTGCTCCTCCATGCCCACCCATCTCCCTCCTCTCCCCAGACAAACAGCCCAGCCTCCTAACTCTGCAGCCTGCAGCAGGATACGCCCTCCTCACTGGGCCTCCCCGACTCCCAACCCATGCTGTAAGCCCGGCAGCCAGGAGCCTACCTGGAACACCCCCACAGCAGGGCCCCCTTGACCCCAGCCCTGTGGTGGGGGGCTTTCCTGCGATGGTCCCTCCTGACTCTCGACTCCCTTCCACCAGGTGCCAGCCAGGGTCCCTGGCCCACAGAGCGAAGGAGAAAGCCCACTGGCTGGGCTGCTTTCAGAAGTTCCTGGCCTACATGCTGCTCTCCGTCGCCTGCTTCCTCCATCCTGTCCTGGTCTGGCATGTGACCATCCCAGGTAGGACCCCCGGCAGGGAGCGCAGGCCCCACTCCAGCAGGCAAGGCTGCTGCAGGAGTGGCTCTCATGGTCCCCGCAGGCCCTGCCGCCCTTTCCAGCCCAGGACCCTGTCCAGCTGGAGCCCAGGGCAGTGCCTCCCTCCTTCCAGCGCACCCTCTCCAGGGCCCGGGGAATGATGGAAAGCCGGCCTTCACCCTGGCTGGACATCCGTGGTCCAGGCTTTCCCAGGATGCTCTCTGCCCAAACCCTGTGTGGGTCCTCAGCAACTACCCTCTCAGGTCCAGACTCATCAGCCGGATTCAAAAGGCAACCTAGGCAGTTCCTGAGTCCCAACACGCCTCCCTCCAACCCAGCCGGCACACCCAATTTCTCACCGTGGAACCAGCAGTATGAGGCTCACTTGGCTGTGTGTGTGTGTGTGCTTTTCTTGTGTCCTGCATTGCTCTCCTGGTGCCCTCCCTTCCTTTCTGTCTCTCAAAATGCCCCCTCCTCATGTCCCCTGGCCTGTCCACTAGAACACTGGAAGCCAGCCTCACCTGGAAGGGGACTGAATTGGGAGACAGCCCTCCCACCCCCACTCTCCTGCCTTCTGCTTGGTGCACCTGCCACCAGCCCTCTCCCGGGACTCCTGAGCAAGGTCCTTCTGGGAGGAGGCCAGAGTCCACCATGCCCTCCAGTTCCATGGGTGGCGAGGCTCACATGGGAGGCCATGGCGTCTGCAGATGCACTCTGCCCCAGGATGGGGCTGGGCTCCTGGGGGCAGCCAGGCTCACATGGGAGGCCATGGAGTCTGCAGGTGCACTTTGCCTCTGAATGGCAATGAACTCTTGGGGGCAGCCAGTGTCTCTGTAGTGAGGAGGCCAATTGGAGATGAGGATGGAGCCAGGAACATCACCCAGGCAGGGACAGGGGAGGATATGGAGAAGGGTCTCCCATTCTAGGATCAGGGAAGGAAGCCCTGTCTTGCAGTGAGGATCCAGGGAGCAGTACGGAGTGTGTGGGAGATTAGTCCCACCCATTTCCACCCCCAGGTTTATTGGAGCTGCCACGGTCCTGTGCGAGCCAAACCCAACCCACGGGTCTGAGAAGGAAGCCAGGGGCTGGTGGTTGAGGGGAGGGGAGGCTGGGGGCAAGAGCAGCCTGACTGGCCATCGGCTGGAAGTGGACCTGAGTAGAGGGCTCTCAGGAGCCAAAATGCTCAGCTCCAGGACAGCCCGAGGGTTTCCACCCTGCACCTTGGCCAGGCTGGTGAGGGGCACGGTGCTCAGGCTCCTGAGCGCAGCAGCCCTGCAGAAGAGCGGGCCTGCGTGGCCTCCTCTTCCCCTCCACAGCCACAGCTGACCGGCCGGCCTCTCTTCCAGGCTCCATGCTCATCATCACGGCCGCAGCCTACTTCCTGTTGAGCAAGCGGAAGAAGAACAAAAGCGCTGCCGAGGCGCCGGCGCCCACGGAACAGTACACGGACCCCTGTAGCAGCGCCGTGAGCACCACAGGCTCGGGCGCAACGGAGCAGACCTACACCTTCCACGAGGCCCTCAAGGAAGGGCCGGGCTCCCTCTTCAGCCACATGAAGAGCATCCTAAAGGGCACCAGGAAGCCCAGTGCGCTGCAGCGCCCCAGTGCTCTCACGGAGCTGGCGCTGCGGCCCGCTGACTCCACGGCCACGAAGAAGCAGGTGCACTTCGAAGACCGCGTGGTCCACATCCACCCGTCTCTCGCGGACAGGCTGGAGGGAGGCGGCGACAGCGAATCGGAGGAGACCACCTCCGACACCACCCCCATCATCCCTCCTCCCCAGGCCCCGCACTTGCTGTCCTCGTTCTCAGCCACTGGCCTGTTCTGAGCCACTCGCCCCCAAGGAGTTGGCACAGATGGACAGCACTGCCAGCAACTCGCCAGCACTCTTGGGAAGTTGGGATCCTCAGAGTAAACCAGACACGGTGACAGGGCCTCTGGGGACATCGGGGGTGTATGGCAGGCCAGCCGATCTAGACAGGCTTCCAGGGAGGTGCAAAGCAAGCCTGGCTCACTTGGAACAGGTGCCCAGTCCTCCCTCCTGGCCATGGTAAACATGGGAGGGTGACTCCTGTGCTGTCCCCAGGCATCCCAACACTCCAATCAGCACCAAGCTGCAAGCGCGCCTGCCTCCGCCCCACAGCAGACAGGGCATGCAGCCGCAGCCGGAGCTGCCCCTGCTCCTGACCTAGGGGCCAGCAGCCGAGCAGGCCGTGTGGCCTACATGCCCCAGGGCTGCACAGAGCCGCGCAGATGACACAGGCGCTGTGGAAGACAAAGGCGCACTGTGCTGGCTCGCGTCACACAAGCATCGTTCCAGAAGTGCCGCTCAGAGCGGGCTCTGTGAGTCCCCACCACCAGGCCTGCCCCAGATTCCTGGTGGATGACGCAAACGCAGAGACGCGCAGTGCCCCTGGCGATCGGTATTGGGCAATGCCCTGCGCTGTGCAGGACCCAGGAGTCACCGCACACAGGATCGTGGCTCTGCCACACGCAGGTGCCCTCGGGGGATCCACATCTGCTCATTGCAAGTGAAAGGGAGGGAAGGAGAGAAACTAAAGTGACAGCTAGCCTGGAACTAGACAGGGAAATGCAAGCCAGCCCTTCCTCCGCGGAAGGATCTGCGATGCGCGTCTCACTTCCAAGCAGCGTCGGTTGTCCCCGCGGCCATCGCCAGGGAGGACAGACGCCCGGCTGCTCAATCCCGGGCACTGAGACATCAGAAGGAAGGGAGGGAATCGCTTCCAGGGGTGGGACGCCCCCTCCCCAAGTATCCACCGAGTGAAGCCGAGCGCGCATGCTCTGTGCTCCTGATGCGATAGGAGCGTGTTTCTTGCACACCTTGCCACATTTCCCAGTAGGCATCTTGCCAAGGTATGGACATATGCAGCCCAGCAAGACCCAGCGTAGCTGTTCTTGCACTAGCCTGTTCTCTCAAACAAGACCACATCTGACACAATCCCCTGGGCCCTCAGGGCTGGGAGCGGTGGGGCTGTGGTCCGAACTGCCCGCAAGGCCGGAGCTCAGGGATTGATGGGGCAGTAGATAATACCCTCTGTGGGGCCTGGGAGGCAAGGGTGTTCCCATGCCCGAGGTGAGACAGCGGGGGGTGCGCCCCACTCCTGATGCACGCCACCTGTGCCAGGCAGGCCGCTGTGCACAGAAGGACCCCGGGGGAAAGAGGAGTGGTCTTTCCCATGAGTGTCCCAGGCTAACGGGCAGCACAGTGGTCTGGATGGGGGTCTCTGGCCTCCTCAGCACCATCCTGTTGAACAAACACATCTGCAGACGCAAGGACTCACACCGTATTGGCTGTGTCCAGTTCCTGCGCGAGGAGCGGAGGCTGACTCTGATCGAGGTGTGGGTGTGCCACTCCTATCAAGCCTTCTTTTGGCTCGGACAGAAGTCGCCAGGGAAGCCACAGCAGCCGGGTCTGATCTGAACGCCTCATTGCAGGTGCAGCTGCAGAGTCGGCTTCTCTCTCCTTTGACTCAATCTCAGGAGCTCGCGTCATCACAGGGGTGCGTGCTTCGTCTAAACTACCTAACGTCTTGGCGGACGACTCCACGTGAATCCTCCTGATTTCTGTGACTTCAGTGGTGCCAGCTCCCCTTTCCATTCAAGCATGTTAGTGGCTTGAGTCCCCTCCTTTGCCTGCTCTGTCTAGCCACAGTTCACAGTCACAGTCTCACGGACATGTCACCTTAGAGTCCAAACAGAGCCAACTGGCTCACGTGCGCCTTTTGAAACTCCTGCTGTGCCCACCTTGTGTCGGTAGCTGTTTGGGGGGTGCAGTTGGTTATGTCCAATGCTGCTGTGCCCATTCCGCCTCTCGGTACTGCTGTTTACACGGTTTGTATGTTTCACCTTTTACTTTCGACCTATTTGTACTTTTGAAACAAAAGTTTCTTCCCTTCAGATTCCCTACCATTAAATCTTGTTTTTATTCAAGCTGGAAACTTTGGGTTAAAGATTGTAGAATTCATTGACCTTTTGATGTGTTAGAATTTGCATATCCTACTTTGTTTTTTTTTTATTTCTGTACTTTTTTAAAAGTTTTATTTATGTCTTTATTTTACTTCAAAGGCAGATTTACAGAGAGGAGAGACCAGAGGGTGTGAGCAGCAGGGGTGTGAGGGAGAGCCGGGCTCAGCCCATCTCAGCCATGTGCCTCCCCTACAGAGCAGCTTCCAGGACAGGCCGTGCCAGAGTCTCATTCCTCCTGTAAGTGTGAGATCAGCCCAGAGAGCTGGGGGACTGGTGAGGGAGCCCCACGCATTCCCCGAAGCCTGCCGTGGACCCTGCTGCCTGAAGTGCTCTCCAGGCGCTGTGTCCCCTTGGGACCATTTCCAGAGCAGCAGTCCTTGCTCTCCTGCGTAGAAGCTCCTTGGAATGACTCAATGCTAAACCCCGCCCCCAACTCCACCTCATCCCACCCACCCCACGGCCAAGACCTCCGTGGATGTGATGTTGCTGTCACAGTAGGTACAATACACTGGGGGACTAAGGACCAACACAGCTTCATGTGGCTCTAAGTTCTAGAGTTCGGGAGTAGGCAAGCCGACACCCTCGCCCTGCAGCTGTTTCCCTCCCTTACAGCTCAGAACCGCAAGGGAGCAGAAGTGAAATCTCCCACCCAGATAACGAGCCCCCTGCTGCTATTATGACATCAATCCACGCTGGAGGCCAAAGCCCCAACCACCTCCTGCCGCTTGTGGCTGCATTGGGCTTCCAGTACTTTGCAGGGCACAGGCGTGCCAGAGCTGCAGGGAGGAAGCAACCAGCACATGGATGGGAGCTTAAACTTTCAAATGTACTTGGCCTCTGCTCCAGGCCAGCTGTGGCAACTCCTCCAACTGCCACTTGTCCACAGGAAGCAGCTCCCACCCCAGTGCTGGTTGAGAACTGGACAAAGCGATGAAAGTGAAGTGCATACGGGGTCTTTCTGGCCTTGAATGTGACATTGCAGCAACGGGTGCGACAGCTGCTGTGGAACCATTTGCTTCCTCTTTATGCACACTGCAGAGGGAGAGCTATTCTCACGGACTCCAAGCCTGCTCCCCAGCTCAGCCTGGAGCCCAGCACCTTGCCAACAGCACGGCATGTGTGTCCAAGAAGCAAACTTAGCCCTCACTTCTCACTCCTAGCTGAGTTGCCAGAAGAAACCTGCTGGTTGGCAAATCTACAGGGGAACCTCCGTGCCCCTCTTTTCTGCTCTGCAGGCATCCGGTTGCCACCTGTCCCTCCGAGTCCTGGCCCAGCTGCTGGCCCTGCTGCTGGACAGTCAGCTGCTTGACCACCTCTAGAGGGGAGGGAAGCAGAGGAGGATGGCCCCAGTTGAGACTACTGGGGCTCTCCCAGGGACCCTGTCGGCTGGCTGAATGTCTCACGGTGGTCCAGAGAGGAAGTGGCGATGTGACAGGGGGAGGGGTAGGGAGTAGCCTGGAGAAGCGGAGTGGGTGGGAAGCCCTGAATATCCCATCAGGAAGGGACAACCACAGCTGGGAGAGGACCGCAGCTTGGAAGTCAGGGTGAGCTCAGTAGGCCGTGCTGAGACCTTGGGGTCTTGGGTGACCCTCCCAGGTAAAACCCCCAGGACAAAGGAAGCTCCCAGTCTCACAGGGCTGGGCACAGCTCCGGGGGCTGTTGTCCTTGGAAAACCAAGCCCTGAGTTTGAAGTTTTAGCACACAATTCTCTTTACTACAGGAGCTGCTAGGAAGTGTAATCCAGCAGGAAGATGATGTGGGCAAGAATCACAGAATCAGAGCAGGCTGCCCTGGGAGGATCCTGGAGCAGGTGCAAGGGCCCATCCTAGGGGGCACCATCCCCACCTCCCCACCTCACGGGCACAGAGCCACTGCCCCTTGGAGCACAGTTAACAACTGGAATAAGTAAGTGGGCCATGCCCCTGGTGACTCATTTGTTCCTGTCCAAAGCTGTGCCAGGCCCAAGGGTTGAGCGTATCCCCCCCCCCCCCCCAGTGTGTCAGTTTCCAGCTTCCAGGAACCTGGTTGAGACATTTGCAGGCCCGAGTCTCGAGTTCCTCTTTCCATAGCATAGAACTTCCTTTCTGCGAAATCAATGGTGCTGGTAGAAACTCAGAATCCAGGTTGCTAAGGACAAGAGTTGCTTCAGCCCAGCAAACCTTTTCTTAAAGATGCATGATTTTTTTTTAATTTTTTTAAAGATTTATTTTTATTATTTTTTTTTTATTGGAAAGGCGGATATACAGAGAGGAGAGACAGAGAGGAAGATCTTCCGTCCAATGATTCACTCCCCAAGTGAGCACAACGGCCAGTGCTAGGCCGATCCGAAGCCAGGAGCCTCTTCCAGGTCTCCCACGCGGGTGCAGGGTCCCAAAGCCTTGGGCTGTCCTCGACTGCTTTCCCAGGCCACAGGCAGGGAGCTGGAAGGGAAGCGGGGCTGCCGGGATAGAACCGGCGCCCATATGGGATCCCGGGCGTGCAAGGCGAGAACCTTAACCACTTGCGCCACCGCGCCGGGCCCAAAGATGCATGATTTTATTTGAAAGAATTATAGATGGAGAGAGGAAACCTCACCAGCAAGAGAGAGAGGTTTTCCATTCATTGCTACAGTCTTACATTGGCCACAGTGGCAAGGGCTGCACCAGGCAAAAGCCAGGAGCCAGGGATTCCACCCAGGTCTCCCATTTAAGCGGCAGGGACCTAAGCGCTTGGACCATCCTCTACTACTTTCCCAGGGGCATTAACTGGGAGCTGGATCAGAAGTGGAGCATCCAGGACTTATACCAGAGCTCACATGGGAGTGCTGGCAGCACAAGGGGCAGCTTAATGCATGGCACCACC